AAGATTGCTCTTCCCAGCGAAGATACCATTTAGAATCAAAGGGCAGATAGAGAGCTTCCCTGGTAAAAAAAAAAAAAAACTAAAGGAGTTCATCATCATCAAACCATTATCATACGAAATGTTGAAGGATCTTATTTAAGAAAAAGATTAAAACTATGAACAATACAGTGGCAATAAATACATATCTATCAACAATTGAATCAAAAATCAAATTAAGCCAACAAGAACAGAGACAGAATCATGGAGACAAGAGATCATTTTGATGGTTGCTGGATGGGAGGGAGTGGGGAATGGGTGAAGAGATGAAGGGATTAAGAAGTTCAAATTGGTAGTTACAGAAGAGCCATTTGGCTGTAGATTTCAGTATAGGAAATGGAGAAGCCAAAGAACCTATGCTCATGACCCATGGTCATGAACAAAGGTATGGGAATTGCCTGAGGGAGTGGGGTATGCTGGGTGGAGGAGGAAAAGGGGGGGAAATTGGAGCAATTGTAATAGCATAATCAGTAAAGTATAATTAAAAAATAAGTTTTGATACTAGAGCAGGGCCTTTTATCTTGTATATTATTTTACCATTTTTATTGGTGGTAAGAACACTTAACATCTCTCTTTAACAAATTTTAGGTGTTCAATACAGCATTGTTAACCATGGCTATTATGTTGTTCAGCAGATCTTCTCTAAAACTTACTCATCTTGCATAACTGAAACTCCATACCCTCTGAACACAACTCTTAATTTTCCCTTCAGCCAACCCCTGGCAACAACCATCCTTCTCTGCTTCTATGAGGGTGACTTTTTTAGATACCTCATGTAGGTGGAATCATGCAGTAAATGTGTGTGACTAGTTTATTTCACTTAATAATGTCCTCCAGGTTCATCCACGTTGTCATTATGGTGGTATTTCCTTCTTTTTTAAGACTGACTAATATTCCATTTTGTATATATTCTACATATATTTTAGAATTAGCTTGTTGAGTGCCACAAAGAAATCTGTTGTGATTTTTGTTGTGATTACTTTTAATCTATAGAGCAGTTTAGAAAGATTATTATAAAATTGAACCTTTTCATATATTAACATAGTATATCTATGTAGCACTTTCATATTTCTTTCACTAATATTTATAGTTTTCTGTATAGGGACCTTTGTATATCATTTGTTATAATTATTCATGGATATTTTATATTTCAGGCTGTAATAAATCCTGTTTGTAAATAAATTTTATTTTCAGATTTGTTCCTGGCATTGAGCAATGTGTAGATTTAAAACTTTTACTTTCTTATGCAACTGTAGCTATCTGTGGACCAGTTTAGATTTCATGTGTACACAATTACATAACCTGGCATAGGACTGTTTAATCTCCTCTTCTCCCCAATCCCTTATTGTTTTTAGTAAAGCCAGGCCTCCCCTGGCTGGGGTCCACTGCGGTGATAATAGAAGTGGGAACAGTTGACATCATTGTTACATCCCCAGTTTCAAAGGAGAAACATTAAATTTTTTTTCTGTTGAGTGTGATGTTATAGGTTGTTAGATTTGATTTGCTACTCGTTTAGTAGGGTTTTGAATCAGAGTTCATGAATGAAAAATCCTGTAATTGTTAATAATGTCTTTGTCTGATTTTAGTGGAAGGTTTTGCTAGATCCTCAAAGGAACCAGGAGTGTTTGTTCTTTCCCTGTTCTCTGGAAGAGTGTAGGGAGGACCAGCATTATTGATTAGAATTCACCAGGGAAGCCACCTAGCTAAAGTTTTTAGTTCTGTTTTTCTTGTTTATCTTGGAAAGGTTTGTAATTGCAAATTCAACTTTTTCAATAAGACTATTTAGATACTCCATTTCTTCTTGTGTCCATTTTGGTTATAGTTTTCTGTGAATATGTCTATTTCATCAAAATTTCCAGTTTATTGGGAGAGACCTACTTGTACTATTGTTTTACCTTTTTATGGTCTATAGGATATGTAGTACTGTCTCCCTTTTCATTACTGATAGGTGGTTTGTGCCTTTTCTCTCTCTCTTTTTTTTTTTTTTTTTTTTGCTTAATTGGACTCTCCAAATTTTATCTATCTCAGTAGTATTTCCAAGTAACTTATTTTTATTATGATTTAGTCACCCATAGGTTGTTTAGAACTATATCCTTAATTTCCAAATATATAGGAATTGTTTCTTCACTAGAAGATGGCTTAGATTTCTAGTTGATTAAAAAACATTCTGAATGGTTTCCATTACTTGAAATTCATTGTTGTTTGCTTTATTTTTGTGTATTTTTGTAAAAATTCCACTGTGAGCTTGAGAAAATGCATATTCAGTAAGGTGTGGTGTTCTGTATATAACCATTAGGTCAGTTTCCTTATGGTGATATTTACATCTTCTATATCCACTTACCGTATTTGTCTGCATGTTTGGTCAGCTACCAAAACAAGTGTGCTGAAATCTCTACTGGTTGTGAATTTATCTGTTTCTCTTTCTGGTTACAGCAATTTTTGCTTTCTGTATTTTGAACCCATGTTACTAATGCATGCAAATATGGAATTAATTTATCCTCCTGGTAAATTGAAAGTTTTATCACTATTGATTGTATCTCTTCATCTCTCAGAAATGCTTATTGTCTTTTTTTTAATATATTTTATTGATTATGCCATTACAGTTCTATTTCCCCTCTTCATTCCCCTCCACCCTGCACACCCCCTCCACCCTGCGCACCCCCTCCCCCACCATTCCCCCCTTTAGTTTATGACCACATGTCTCAAGTTCTTTAGATTCTGTATTTCCCATACTATTCTTGCCCTCCCCCCTATCTATTTTCTACCTACCGTCTATGCTACTTATTTTCTGTACCTACTCCCCCCTTCTCCTCCTCCCACTCCCTTGTTGCTAACTCTCCATGTGATCTTCATTTCTATGGTTCTGCTCCTGATTTAGCTGTCCTCTTAGTTTGCTTTTGTTTTAGGTGTGGTTGTTAATAACTGTGAGTTTGCTGTCCTTTCACTGTTCATCTTTTTTATCTTCTTTTTCTTAGATAAGTCCTTTTAACATTTCATATAATAAGGGCTTGGTGATGATGAGCTCCTTGAATTTGATCTTATCTGAGAAGCACTTTATGTGTCCTTCCATTCTAAATGAAAGCTTTGCTGGATAGATCAATCTTGGATGTAGGTCTTTAGATTTCATGACTTGGAATACCTCTTTCCAGCCCCTTCTTGCCTGTAAGGTCTCTTTTGAGAAATCCGCTGACAGTCTGATGGGAACTCCTTTGTAGGTGACTGTCCCCTTATCTCTTGCTGCTTCTAGGATTCTCTTTTTCATTTTAATCTTGGCTGATGTAATTATGATGTGCCTTGGTGTGTTCCTTCTTGTGTCCAACTTCTTTGGAACTCTCTGAACTTCCTGGATTTACTGGGAGTCTATTTCCTTTGCCATATTGGGGAAATTTCTCCTTTATTATTTGTTCAAATAAGTTTTCCACTCATGGCTGTTTCTCTTCCCCTTCTGGTACCCCTATAATTCAGATGTTGGAGCATTTAAAGATGTCCTGGAGGTTCCTAAGCCTCTCCTCATTCTTTCGAATTCTTGTTTCTTCATCCTTTTCTGTTTGGTCAGTTTTTTCCTCTTTCTGGACCACTCCTTTGATTTGAGTCCCAGTTTCCTTTCCATTGCTATTGGTTTCCTGTGTATTTCCATTCATTTCAATTAGTTTAGCCTTCATGTGTTCCTCTAATTTGTGACTATAATCAACCAGTTCTGTGAGCATCCTGATCACCAGTGTTTTGAACTGTGCATCTGAAAGTTTGGCTATTTCTTCATCACTTAGATTTATCGGCTCTGGGGCTCTGAGTTGTTCCTGAGCCATGTTTTGATCTGTTTGTGCCTGTTACATAGGAGGAGGTGTTCACTAGGGTAGGGCTACCCAGGTCGCTGTTTTGTGACGCTGTATGTGGGGGCGGGTCAGAGAGAGGCCACCCAGGTCGCTGGTTTGTGAGGCTGTATGTGGGGGCGGGGTCAGAGAGGGACAATGGCGGTCCCCTCTGCCACTTTCTGCCACTGGGGCCTGCACGGTCTGTCTCACCGCTTCGCTCCTTCACTGGTTTATCTGCACTCGACTGTGTGACTTTGGTCAGCCCTCAGTGAGTCCACTGCCTCGTGCCCTCAGTGGGTCTGCCCGCTACTCCACACCTGGGATCCGCCCACGGCTGCCGGCGCGCCTGGGTTGCACGCCTGGGTCCGTCCGGTGGATCTTTCCTGCCTGACCCCACTCTGCTGCTGGCTCTGCCCCTCCTACCGGTTTGGCTGAAGGGTTCGTTGTTGTCAGACTTCCATGTAGTTCAATTTTCTGTGGTTTGGCTACATTTTTGTTGCTAAAACTTTGTTGTTTTTAAAGTTGGTTGTGTGAGAAGGCACAGTGCTTCAACCTATGCCTCAGTCTTGGCAGAAGTCTAATGGTTATTGTCTTAAAGCTAACCTTGACTAATACTAATAGAGCTATACCAATTTTCCTTTGTTTATTTTTTTTTCGTAGTTTCCATCCTTTTCAACTATCTGTATCTGTGTGTTTTACATAATGGTTTATAAATAGAAGGTGGCTTTGTCTTATTTATTTAATGAACATGTGCTGATCTTCATCTTTAAAGACATTGTTAAGACATTTACATTTAATGTAATTGAGTCTAATAAATCTGTCAGTCTTTTAAGGTTAATAAGGCTTTAAACAACAATTTTTACATTAAGTAAAAGTTCATTAACATCCATGAGTTTAAGAAATCTCCGACTTGTACATAACGATGCAGAGATTTATAAAACCTTATCCTCTGTTACTCCTTTGACTGCGGTGTAATGAAAAGGCATCCAGTGACTACAATATACTAAGAACAACATTTCTAATCTATTGTTTGGGTCTTCGCTTGCAACTTCTACCTGTATATTGTGGTTTACTTGCCTAATTCCAGTAAACACGGCATTAACAATTTATCTTTCATACAAAGTACTATAAGGATTTCACTTTTGACCCCAGGGCTGTGACTCCCAGGTGAGCATGTCAGAAGTGTCCTGCAGTGGAAGCACGTCCTCGTGTCAGTCTCTGGAGCACGGCTCAGTTCCGGAAATCCTCATTGGCCTACTTTACAACGCCACCACCGGGAGACTCTCCGCAGAAGTTATAAAAGGCAGCCACTTCAAAAACTTGGCAGCAAACAGACCACCCAGTGAGTGAAAAATACTTTTTTAAATTCTAATGTTTTCTGCATGTACGGGGATCTCAGTGTTAGGGGCTTCAATCCCATCATTTAGTCTTAACCGATCAAAATGAAGTGGTGTAATAATCATCAGCTAATCTGTTTCATTTTTTTCTATTTCCAGTCATTTGGGAAGTAGAAAAATTTGAAATTCAAAACATTAATTGTAAAGTATCAAGACTTTTAATTTTTCTAATGTCAACGGAAGAAATGCTTCCTGTCACAGCCATTACCTTCTAATGCCAGAAAAGAGTTACAGGGTCTTTTAAAGTTAACAGTATTCCACAGATATGATCAGGAATATGTACGGTTATCGTTGTCAACTGAGGATTGATGTTGTGTTTCCTGTCTGCATGCAGAGCTATAAACTAATGTATAAATTTCTACGTTTTTCTTTCTTTTCTCCCTTAACAATTTAAGAAGAAACTTTTCATATTTTTCTTATTTTTAAATTATCAGTCAGTACTGCCACCAGAGTCTTCTTAAATGGAATATACTTTGGCTTTACCAGGACAAACAAATAAGGAATATTTTTACACTCACCCTAAATACTAGGAACAGAGAGCTAGATGGTGTGGCTCTGCCCCGTCTCTGTGCCTCTCACTCTTGTCTCCTTACCTCTCTCCCAGCTCAAGGGCTGTGGGTAAGTTAATGGGAGTGCGGAGAAATTGTCGCCCAATATATACATACCCAGAACTGTTTGTTAATATCTGTAGGAATGAGCTCAGGAAGTAGCAGCTTCTTTGTACTTGTCTAAATTAAAGCTGTTAATGTCCTAAACTAAAAATTCGAAAGGAAATTTTCAGTAGTAATGGCCACCTTAAATTTGTTTAAAGATTTCTTTCAGACTTGCTTAAAGCAGTTTTTTACTCCACATATGAAATAATTCTTGAAGGAGGGGAAACTTTTTTCACCCTTGAAATAAATTAACTTCTAAATATCCTAAATTTTTTTTTCAATCAAAATGAAAAGTCATGTGTACATATTTGGTTTGCCTTAAGTGGTATTGAAAACCTTGCTTCTTATGTACATTGTGAAATGTCCCTATTCCTAAATTCAAAGTCAGAAAGCCAGATTATGCTTTTATTTCTACCCTTGGACAAGTAACCTAACTCCCCTAAGTCTGTTCACTTACACATAAAATTAAGGTGTGTCTCTCACAAGGTAATTGTGAGACTCATATCAGATAAAGGTGCATAAAAGGAGGGAATTGTTTTCCTTCCTTTTCAGAAGGAAAAAGTCAGAGGGAGGAAAGAAACAGTTACTAGAATAAACAGCTACTTGGTTACCTTCATTAATGCATACTTAGAATACAAATTCTAGTGGCCTGGGAAGTCACTTAAATGAGCAAAACGTGGAGATGAAAGATAAGGAGCATGGTGAGGCCTGTGACAAATAGGACAGGGCACACCCTGCATTTAGACATTCAGACTGAAAAAGAAGTAAACACTGGAACAAGTAAGATACTCTTGATGCTACAGCCACAAGCTATCAGTTTGCCATTCATTCTTGCTTTAGCTAACAGTTTAATTTTTGACAAACATTTAACTTGAGAAGCTAAGAAGTAGTGAAATGAAATGATATGTTTGCCTTTCTGTCCTGTTCTACCCACTTTGATAGAAACAGAAATCACTAATCAGAACTAAACTGAAGGGAGCCGAGTAGAGGCAGGGGCTGATAATATAAACAGGGTAAGAGATTAGCATGCACAGCATAAAGTAGATCTTTCTGGATTTAAAGAGTAGATTAAAGCAATAGCCATTATTTTAGAATTAGGTCTTCAGTATCAATATGTTTATCTGAAATAAGTCAACATTAAAATTAGTTATATGGAGCATGTATAAAGTAAAATATAAGACAATTTTATCAGTTGGTCTTATACTGTATATATGATATAAGATTGTGACCCTTTGCATACACCTAGGCACTAAGTTTGGAACTATGTTATAGATGAAATAATTCCATTTTTATTCAAAGAAACAAGAGCAATATTCAAGGGCAAAATTTGTGGTAGTTCTATTTTATTTTTCGAAACTTAATTTTATATTATGTTGAGAGTAATAAAAGAATTTGAAATATTAAATATTGCATGGATAAACTTAAAAATTTAGAAGAAGAATAATGATCCTATAATGACTTTTATTCAGTCTTTTATGGTCTGATAATTTGCATGATTCTATGTTCAATGTGCTTTAGACCAAGAGGATATCATTATAAAGATGCCCCTTTAAATCAGGGTAATTTTTCTTTAAGATTACACAATGACCTTAAAAAGTCTCATTTCATGAACTTTACCCAACAATCCTTTTGTTCACCCCTCTACTTGAATTAAAATGCTAAAGTTTTGTGTTCTTCCACTCCAGTGAACAGTGTTTCCTCTTTAATTCTAACCTTTGACCCTCTTTCACCCAACAATTGACATCTGGTCATTATTTCTTTTACTGCTTTCCACCCCCTGTTGTCAGATGGACTGTTCTGTTGTCTAAAACACTTGATAGGTGGACAGGTTTATATAATCCGAGGTGAGTTCCTGTAGAGGCTAATTGGATGTTGTCTTTTCATGCAAAAACAAAATACCCTAAAACTTGCCAGCAGTGAAGCTGTCCACCATGTTGGTTTCCAAAAAATGCACATTTATTATCTGTGGTACTTTAAATAAAACTAACTTAGAATTTATCTCTGATTATGGATGATGGTATTCAGAGTATAAAATAAGCAAAACTTTTTTAAATTAAAGGTTTTATTTTTTCATTCATTATATTTTGATTCATACAACAGAAATAGTTACTTCATGAGAAATATTGCAATCTTCATGAAAATTAATAAAAATTCTGATATGAAGTACACATGATGGATCAACATGCTGAAGATCATTTGCATGAGTTGAAAGAACTTAAAAGCACAGTTGTACGAAGAGAGGGTTCACCTTGCAAATACCCAGGCAGTGGCCTGTCATGTTTCACTTTGAACACTAAACATCACATCAGTTTTTTTATACCTCATGAAAATAGTTAAGATACCATACTTACATTTGACATTGAATTGTGTCAAAAGGAATCCTATAGTATTTATTTTGACTATCCAAAAAGCACATTAAATGTACTGCTGCGTGAAACCAGGAGAAAGTTGTACTTGATTTGCTGAACTTTGAGCCCTTAATGCATTTGGCATCATTTCGGTCCTCAGCTGGTTTGAAAATATTATTAAAAACCACATCCATGCAGAGATTTCTTTAACATTTCATCCTGAGCTGTTTTGACGTCATCTTTGCATTCTTGTCTTCCTCTTACCCTCTTTACCATTTGCCTTCATTTCTGTTTGTTTGTTTATTCTTATTCTCTGAAAACACAGTGGAATGCTTTACAGTGTTGTGGCTAATTGAGCTTGCTAAGTGTTTATTAATGCTATGATGTCCTGCTTAGTGAAGCTACACGGGGATGGGATGGGGTGGGTGGGGTGGTCGTGGGAGGTCAGGGCACGGGTGGGAGGGTGGAGGAAGGATTATGAGGTATACCTTTAAATTCTAACCATAATGGAGAAACAGTGAGGTTGAGATATTAGCGCCCCCCAAAGATTTGCTGCCCACTTAGCATTCTCTGTACCTGTCATGTTTTACAAGCATCTGCATCAAAATGGAATTAGTTGAATTTCCATTAACCACGGTATACACCATATCCTTATGAAGTACAGATACTTAATCTTCTCAGCAGATGTTACAAGAAAGATGTTTTGAGTTGGTTTCAAATGATATTTGTGGTATGTTGTTTTTTTTTTCTATAGATACATATGTTAAATTAACTCTCCTGAATTCCATGGGTCAAGAAATGTCTAAATGCAAGACATCCATCCGCAGAGGGCAGCCCAATCCAGTGTACAAGGAAACTTTTGTTTTTCAAGTGGCCCTGTTTCAGCTTTCTGATGTGACACTTATACTGTCCGTGTATAACAAGCGCAGTATGAAAAGAAAGGAGATGATAGGCTGGATTGCTCTAGGTCTGAACAGCTCTGGAGAAGAGGAGCTCAATCACTGGACTGAGATGAAGGAGTCGAAAGGACAGCAGGTGTGCAGATGGCACGCGCTGCTCGAGTCGTGACGGCTGGAGCGAGCGTGCGCGGCCCGGGCCTCCTGTTCCCCATGGCAACACTGCTGTTTCTGCCGAGCCACCATCAGAAGAGTTCTTCTTTGAAGAATCGTCCTCCACATTCCACCAAAATGTTTTAAATTCTGTGGTAGAGTATCTAGTACTGACATACGTGAAGAAAAACTCCGTCTCTGGTGGAGCTTGTTTGGGAAGATGAAAGACTAATAACATCGTTGTTAAATTAACAGCCTCCAGAGCTTCCAGAGCATGCTTTTGGGTTGAAGTTGACTTTACTTTTTAGCAAAAGAGCCATTCAGTTATTCTATGAAAATTCAAAATTATAAATGATTTTAATTAGAATTTTAGTTGCAACACTATTTTAGATCGTGCTACATATAATCCATGAAACGTATTTGGACTGACCCATCCCTGATGTTTGAAATGTACTTTAATATGAGAAAGTAGTTCTCCACCTCTGCTGTAAGTCATAGCTGATGTTGAAGGGTTCCAATCACGTTGAAAATTGTTTTATTCCTGATGGTTTCCCTTTGTGCACTTAGGTTCGTCATGCCTCAGTTCTTCTCAGCACCAAGTCTAAGGGCAAGCGAGATTTCATTGTTGTAAAAGTAGTTTAATGTTATTTTTTAAACTCATGACTTCATTTGCCTCTGCTTTTGCCTGATCCAAAGAGACCACGTCACTGTACTGGTCCCTTGCGAGTCTTCTAGACAGGTTGTACTGTAGAACTACGTAACTTTCTGTTGAAAGCACTTCCTGTATTCTTGTATTCCAATGTAGGAAGCTAATAGAACAGGACCTTACATTACAAGTTCTTTTCGATGATTGACTCTTTAAAATTGTAGCAATGTGCAAGTATGTTTTTTACAAACTAAAAAATATAGTAGATAACCTGTAGAAAATTGAAAACAATTTAAGTTAAAGAAAATTTTAATGATCTGCTCTTAGCGTTTAGTAACCAACGCTGCATAAAGCAGGCAGCATCCAGATAAGAAACTGCTCTCTCTCTAAATCTACACTCTTAACTTCAGTTTGTATTTGTGATATAAGGACTCTCCAGTTCTCAGTGTGAACCGGAACATCATGTTCAAAATAGTCCTTAGATTCTTTATGGAGTTTCTAGTGACTTGTGGCTAGATTTTATGAAATTCACAGATGCGTTCAGCGTGATGTCATCCTGTGCCTTTCATGTAAGTTAAATTTGCTCATACAGCTTGAAGGTTGTATTTGCAAAATTAGGCCTTCGATTTTTATAAATGAAAGATTCCTCAGAACAGTATCACAAGCTCTTTATTTCCTCTGAAGTGTATAAAATGTGCTGTTTTTTTTATATCACAGGCATTTTCATTTGTTGCTTTTGTATTTAGCAACTCCGATTAATCAGGAATACTATAAGCTGTTTTCTTTTTAATTTTGCTTCTTACTCAATATATAATTTTATGCATATACTTTATTAAATAGAGTGTGTTTTGTACATATGAAAATATTTTTCTCTTTCTAATTTCTAGTTAAACTAGACAAAACAATTTGCCAGTTACTAAAAAACAGTATATCATTATTCCTAGTCCCAACTAATTACTATATATTATTGTAAGGTACAACTTGTTATTTCCATAATAACAAAACCATGCATAGATATTACTATTTTAACCTGGCGGTACTGAAAGGCCTTAAAAGAAATCCAAAAAGACAGTGAACTCCTAATATTTTTTAGTTTAAAAAACGGCAGCTCTATGCATTTATACATATGAATTATAAGGTAAAATACAAATGTTCTATTGGATGACATGAGGTTTAAGAACAAATGTTATAGAGTCCATTAAAGGGAAAAGTTCATTCTTGTATTATGACGTTCATCAGCTTTTTCCAGGGTGTTTTATAAGTGAGTTAGGATATAAAGTTAGAACATAAATCAAATGGCATAGCTCATGGAAGTATTTTCAGCAGCAGTATGGAATGAGATTTAAGGGGGTGGTGTAGATTTTACTGGGAAATTAGATTTGGGCATTTGATGCTACAGGTATGCGATCTGGCTTTGAAACAACTGACCGCATTGCTAACAACTGGGATCTTCCTAATAAAGAGAGTTGTCACCAGTATTTGTAGCTGTAACAAAGCCTAATCGCACCACTGTAAACCAGCTTGGTGCTTTTTTCCTGCAGTGAGGATAAGACCCAGGTAGCTGTTACTATTAAATCTGTCTTTCTCCAGACCATGCCCAGAATTGTGTGCGTGTGCTGATATGTCTTTGGGGATTTGCCTGGTATAAGTATCAAATCCAATACTGCCTAAAAATGAATTAACAATTTTAAAAACTTTCAAGAAGGACCCTATTTCCACCCCAGCTACCAAGTCCTCAAAGATACTGAAGTGTGTGTGTGTGCATACACACAGGTACACACGCCCAAGCATGTATGAAAAGATGAAGTTGCCCTGATTTTATCAATAACTAAGTAGGAGAACGTTTATCAAGTTTATGGATTATTTTTCCTCTCTATGTATAGTTTACTAGAAATTGTATTTGGTTTGAGGTGCTATTCGCTGCCATTTTCTTCCTCACACAGCAAAATATATATCTTTTTGTCCTGGATTGACACAACTTACAGTCATTACTCCCAAAAGTTTGTCTATTCTTTTAGAAACAGATTAAATAAGGCTCAAGAGACCCACTTCACTCTACCGAAGCTAATGTACTACTGCTCTTTGTGCACCGGAATTTGCATGAAGGCTTAAAGGCACAATCTTATATCTCGGTAATTATAGAAAATAGGGGCCCACTGGTGGGTAGCAGGTGTTGTTTCAGAAACCTGAGAAAGATAACCCACCTTCTTATTGTTTTCTTAAAATCCCCTAAGTTTTATCATAAAAGGAGAAGTCCAAATACAGCAATTGACTGGCATTCATGTAATTCCTGAGCCTGGAATTACAGACTTTATTTGTCTCCCAAATGAGCTGCCAAATGTAGTAATTTGTTACTGCCCAGGAAACAAAATATATTGCAAATCAGCCAAGAATTTTAGAATAATATCCTTGTTCCTTTCAGAAGTTTTCTTCTATAGTCTTGTGTCTTCTGTACTATCCACATTTTGTGTGAAATCCATTTGCATATTTTCTTACTATGCATCCAGAGAATTCTCAATAATGTTGTATTTAGTGACAAAAATAACAAATGGGACCACAACTTAAAAAAAGAAAAACCAGTGAGAAAATATCGAAACTACCCTGATGAATATACATGTGTCAAAGTGTACGGCCTTGTAAGGCAGCTTCCTCCAGCTTTAGTGCAGATACCTCGGCTACATGTTAAATTATTCTCTTGATACCATCATCATTTTTTACTTTTCAGTCAAATCAGAAGTGTAATCAAGGATTGCAAAGTAAGGTAGCACCAGTAGGGGAAGAGGCCATAGAATTGTGGGTATTCTTCAAGATGAGTTGGAGACCAAATGATATCACAATTTTCCAAGTGAACTGAGAGACAGGCTATTTGAAGGTATGAATTTTAGGTGAATTAAGAGCACTATTCACTCACAAATTTTGTTGAAGGTCTTTATCCAGATATGAAGAAATAACACAAATCTACTTGTATAAAATTGCCACTTTCATACGTAGACTAGACAATTCATAGAGATTGTTCTCAAATAGTTGTTATATTTTTCACATTAATAATTATTATTCAAAACTACTTTTTCCCTGTTCGCTGTCCCCATTTCATCCATGGGCAGCGCTGGAGGCAGCCATCAGTGTCACCATCACCAAACACACTCAGTATCGAGCACAAAGTTGAACACACTATGAAGCAGTTTTTAAAATCTTGAAAACGTCATGTTTCCACCAAAATGCATAATAATGATGATGGTAACTGCTATAACTTACTAAGATCTAGCACAGTAATTTATTACTTTGATTCTTACAACAATACTACAAGGTAAGTAATATTATCAACATTTCGGAGATAAAGCAATGGCAGCATAGAGGTTATGCAGACTTGTCCAAGGTCATCCAGTGAGTAAGCAGTAGAACATCCAGTAAGCGGAATTAGAACACAGGTATAAACGACCCTAAGGCTCGTACTATGAATCTGACAGCTGCATCCCTTTTTACTGGCTGCAAAAAACAACAAAAAAAAACGGGACAACAACAGTATATTCATCAATAACCCCACCCACCTCAGTTGAATGGCAGAACTAGAAAAAAAAGGGAAAAGGAAACAGCTTGGGAAAGAGATGTACAAGGCAAAGAAGAAAAGATGATTAGAGATTGTTTTTCTTCTCAGGACATGTGGTACTTTTGTGTCTTTTTTGTAGAGGATTTTGATTTTTAAAGACTTGGTGATATCACTTAACTCTGCCAGTTTAGCCTATACTTCTATTCTGAAAGCGTATTAATCAATTTATTCTACTTCCTGTATACTATTGGAAATCCAAGGTGTTTTCATTGGAGATGACCGCCTTTCTGCTCTGTGAAGGGGACAGCCTGTATCGTTAGCCTGTATCTTGCCCATGTCAATGGTGAGAGGAAAGACTTACGCTATCAATGCAATTTCCTTACCTCTGTGCCTGTTCTTAAGCATGGGTTTATTTATTCCTTCATTTCAAGAATATTTATAAGAGTACCCACTGTGTGTCATGTTGTCATTCTAAGTGCTGCAGATACTGAGATCATAAATTGCACAGTCTTTCCTCATGGCGCTTGCATTCTACAGTCAGAAGACAGCCACGAAAACGATACAAGTTTAGTTAGTAGAGGACTGAGCACAACGTGGAGTTCAGAAAAGTCTTTCTGGAGAAGGTAACCCCTGATCTGGGTCTCCACAAACAGGTACAGATAAGACTCCCATGTGGGAACACACTCTCTCCAAGGGCAAAATTTAAAACAGTGGTTCCCAAACTATAGTTTATTTAAGAATTACTTAGAGAGCTTGATTTGTATTCCAAAGCCCCATCGCCACAAATTTTACTTCCTTTGCTCTGGGGTGGAGCACGAGAATCTACATTTTATTAAGCTTCCCAGGAAAGTCTCTGAGATTTATTGGTATAGAATACTGAGCTCATTATATAGTAATCATCTAGAGCAGTGCTGCCCAGCACACAGATTAGACCTTTAAATGTGATCGTGATAAATAAGAGTGAGATTAAGATTAGGATTGTGCTGTTGATCTTACTTGTGCTTCCTTAAACAGAAAGATATCTAATGAAAAATTAAAAGGGACGGTTAGTTATGAGTTCTGTATGTTTGCATTCAACATGACTTTTTCAAAGTGTTCCTTGGTATAATAAATAGATTATTGTATGTTGATTTTATGATTCCTGAAGATTCTTTTGGATTATT